TAAAGAAATTATATTTCAATTTTTAGTTAGTCACACATCGTCAAAAGAGAGACTGAATGGAAGTTCAGGAGTTTTTCATGATTGTCACCATTTGCCCCACGTTGGGGCATCAAATAGTGACAAAATGCAGATTTTAGTTTCTATGAAAATTTTGTTATTCCATATGATTTATGGGTCTTGTATTTAAGTTTTTGGTATTTTTGATGGTGGAAAATATCGTTTTAGTAAAACGTCTGATTTGGACAGCTTGAAAATAGATTACACGTCACTATTTTTCCCATTCTCTCTTACTCAAATTTAAATTCAGAGTTGGATGAGAGATTGAATCGCAACTATAAATATAAATGTCACGTTTATCATAATTCAACTGAAAAACTTGGATCTGACCCTGAATAAAAATCTGAGTATTTTACCTGAAACAAGTTTCAAGTAACTATTAATACGGACCTAAAAGCCTAATAGTCGTTACTCGAAACTTGCCTCAGATGAAACTTACTAAAAAAGATTGATGTACAGTTGTGCACAATAATGCACCAATCTTCTTTAATTAATAACTAAACATCTACGTGGTCATTTGGAAAATGGTAGAGGATTTTTTAATTCAGCTTGATCTTATATACAAGCATACAGCGGCAGACGTCGCCATTATATCTCATTTACTGTATAGCGTGATTATTCACGAATTTTCTTTGATTAATAACTTAGAATTGTTGTTCGCAAAATGATACAGAAATTTTTTGTTTAGTTTGACCTAATCTACCTATACACCGCAGCTCTACCAAACACCTTTTACCAGATTTTTAGTACTGACAGAGGATATCGTAGGACACAGTCGCTGCTATTTCGGCCTGTATTAATAATCATTCCTTAAAATTTGTTTTAAGTGGAATCTTTAGATTTAAACTTGATGTTAGATGTGAATTTCTTTCTTTCACAAAGGAAGGAAAAACAAAAATAAAAACGCGCTTTTAGAATGCGGTTTGTTCCAAATGGTAGTTCTTTATGTCCATATTAAGAATTTCAAACTCTAAGTTCAGACACTCTATTCTTTTTCTAAATAACAAAATTATAAAAATTTTAATGTCATCAGATCGATAAATTACTTGGCAGTATGATAGATTTCAAGGAAAGGAGCAAAAATGTTATGTTTTGCAAATTTCTGCATTTTTGTGCCCAATATAATGATTTTCATATAATAAATTCATTGCATAATGTATTTTCATTAGCATTCGTTCACGAACAAGTGTTTGTTGTTAAACCTCATCTACATAACTCGCAGGCTGCAAGACGCAGACCACAGACGCGCAGAATACATAGAAACTCACTCGCAGTTGGCAAATTACCTCGTAAGGCGAGTGTTTACATTGAACGCAAAAGTGATATGCACATGTAAGAAGTTATATTTGTGCCTAACGACTCCTTTGAAATTATTTTTCATTGTGATATACCAACGTAATTATCTGGTATGTTCTTTTAGAGACTTGATATATGTTTAAGTAATCAATGTAACAAACAAACTTACTGACCACAAAACCGTTAAGTTTGTTTTGACTACGAAGACAATAACCTCACAACCTCACTTCGAAGTCTTTCTTCCGTGATGGTTAACGCCAGCAAGACACAGCTGCAGAAGCAATACAGTTGCAGAAAGTTCGAGTTGAATTAACTTGTCATGTGAAGTGCGAATACGACTAAGGTACGTGCACCTTCTGCGAGCTGATACGTCATCTTGCGTCTACGTTTGCGACTTGCGTCTTGCGTTCTGCGAGCTACATAGACGGAGCTTTACTCCGTAAAGATAGTGACGCTTGAGAGACTTGATAATCGGAAAATTCTCGGAAGAAAAGGCTGGATATTTATCGCCAGCGATAAAACGATAACGATCGATCTCGATCGCACGTTTATGAAGCGAGTTTAATTCAGTGGTCCTCTCTCGCTGGACCCAAACGTGATTTCGCAGCAGCATTCACCGCGATATCCCTTCGGAAAGAGCGAGATTCGTCCACCTAAGTCCGCGTCGTACGCGGAGATCAACTGAAATCTTTGCACATATAAAGTTATATTATACGCTCTAGAAGAATAGAACTTCACTTCAATGCTAGTCTATGTTCTGTCACTCGGTAAGGTTTCAAGTTATTTTGTATCCAACAGAAAAAAATGTATTTCCTCAAAATTTCCTGAAAAACAATTTCTCCTTTTGAATACAGAATGCATTTCAAACTTATTGCGAAAAGTATTGCAATCTTCAATCAATTGACTGTATACTTGTTTGTGAAATGGTAGGCATAATGAAATAACGTTCTTATCAAATTATCACAATTGAAAGCTACTACACGGCGAAGTAATTGGTTATGATAAGAGCAGAAGTGATAGCATCTGACTAATCCGAGTAAGTGACTAATAATCTGACAGTATTACAACTGCAACGGATAATTCAGGGAAGCCTAAGTTTTGTTTATTATATTCTTATCTGTTAGATATCACTCTGATAAAGAGTCGATATTTACACTGTCACTGCGACTCCTGTCATCGATTATTTTGTTAGCTTGCTAGTAATTACAATCGATTTTTAACCGACTTCAAGAAAAGGAGATTCTCAGGCCGATATTCATAGTCAGATTTTATACATAAGTCCGTTTTACATTATCCTTTAGATACTTTGTAACCAATAAAATGATCCGTATATTATCCGAAGATGAATTTAAGACGACTTTAAATATAAGATCTGACTTTGAATACTGATTTCAGTTTGTTTTGTACGTAAGTTTTGTTTGTTTACATGTTCCGCTTATGTCGGTTGTATGTTTGGCCGTTAGAGATATTTAGATGAAATTCTTGTAGCTTTAGTATATTATTTCAGTATATAATTTCAGTGTATTATCTACACGGTTTTTACTAAGAATGTTTCCTTCTTTTAAAATGGAGTTGCAGAGCTTCAAGTTGTCAGAATTGAAAGCTGCTGCAGACGTGATGCAAAGTGATCGGAAATGATCAGACAGGAGCCAAAATGGCAGTACGACATTTATGAAATAACATAGAGTAATGTTTATGTGTGTAAGAAAATTGAAATGACAACGTAGCACACACACTTGCATAACATATGTGAAGAGATGATAGCGGTATCATGTTAGCGTCTATTTGACGATCCTCTTTAGTATCTGTATGTACACTCAGTTGCATTGATACTACACTATTCACCAGATTAATAGTCACTAGAAAGTTTGGACCAGCTGTGTCCGCTTCTAGCTGATCGTTTTTCATGACTGTTGATTCATCCGGCAAGCGGAAATGTGTCAAAACAAACATGTGTCAAAGTGACCTTTGGATAGTTTCACACATACGTGTTAATAATAATTTGATAACAGAAATTTGAATGATCTATAAGGAGCCAAGCATGGATGTCTTAGTGCCATTAGATATTAATACTACTTTAATAATATTAAGATGATAGTGAGAGGATAATATATCCAGCATGTCAAACGCACGAAATTTTCTCGATCATCGTACAAATCAACCTTCCACACTTAGACTGTCCTTGAATCCCAAACTTATATATATACTTATATATATATACTTTTATATATATATATATATATATATATATATATATATATATATTTATATTCCCAAAACATCCATTAAACCGATGACTGAAATAGATTCATTTTATATGTTGCGAAAAAATTGCCTCCGCCAGGACTCGAACCTGGAACCTCCCCACTTTCCGGGCGGGACGCCTTTCCATTCGGCCACCGAAGCTTCGACAGTCCTCTCGCAACACAATGTTTATAAATTCTCTAAGGTGTAAGTCGAGAGAGAAAAAAAGAAAGAAAGAAAGAGTCAATCTCGTAAGAAATGTTATAATACGAGAGAGATAGCATATTCTATTGCCAATGCTTTTAAGATAAACCGAAATTATAGAAAGCTCCTTGAATAACTAACAGAAATATTTGAATGGCCTATAAGGAGCCAAGCACGGATAATAATTTAATAATTTAATAATTATAATTTTATATATTAACTTCTTACTCATCTTTTTTTAACACTATTACTCTTCTTATACTTTGTACATTACACGTGAGCGGATAATCTTTTGATAAAAACATGTATATATGAAATGTCAAGCTGTCAAAATGTCACTTTTGTTTTGATACATTCTCGCTTGCCAGATGAATCAAAGTCATGAAAAACGATCAAGTTGATCAGTTATTGATCAATAGAAACGGACATGACTCACTGTTAAACCCGTAGTGTCAAATTATACTCAATTTGAGTTATTTTTAATCATTCCTATAAGTCGCCACTACTCCTAAATATGTCGTTAATTTAACTAATGTAATGGAGTTTTATAATTTAACTTATGAAATGTATTAAATTTGACTAAAATTTAGTTTATTTTTAATATGTGTACAATAATGTAACCTTTGTTTTAGTAAAAAATGACTTAATATTGTTTTAATTGGGTTGATTAGATGTGGTTGTTTTTTTAAACACATGTTTTGTGTTAAAATAGTAAATTTTGACACACATGATAGTTAACTAAATATTATTTAACTCAAGAAATTGGTTTGAATTTGACCCTCCAATAATTAACAGTGTTGTTCTAAATTAACATAAAAATTTGGGTAGATCGTTTTGGACATATGAAATGTGTTATACATTTTTTTAACATAAAATTTTTCATTAATTTTAAATTTTCAAGAGATACACTTTTTTATGTACGTCAAAAGAACTACTACAATATCTTTTGACAACGACGAATGTCGACTGATTCTTTGTAGGACAGCACTAGCCATTATTGGACGTCACATTTTCTTTCTATAATTATTCAACCGAACGCATTTATTGGAGCATCCATATCGCGCGCGATAACTTGCTCTTTTTAACTTGCACGCACTTTGCACGCCACTCCTATAGAGACTAGAGCGGAATCGTTAAAAACGAGAGCGAAAAAACGACGTGCGGATCGTTAGATAAAGATAGCGCATGGAAACTATCAGCTATAGCGTATGAAAGCTATCAGTCTTAGATAGTTATTTACGACGAGCATTGAAGAGCTCTCGATTTGACGTCGATCTAATTCAAGTATGAATATGCAACCCGTACGAATGTCACGGTGTGAGTAGCCGGGTTAGTTAATCTCTACGTCGGACGAGCATTTGATTACAATCGACGGCAGGAAATCCCTTCGTTCTACGCGATGTGTACGAGGTATCTCACGGTATGGAATGATATCTGCGGGAATTCCACGAAATTCGGAGATCCTAATTGTACAGGTAACTTATCAAACAGCGGGCTTTCGCGTTCAACTTTTTTCTGTGCATTCTCATTCAGTGTCATTCTTTCTTAAGCTAACAAATTCCACCTTTTTCCCCGATGATTAACCGTCAATTCGGAAATTCGTAATCCGTAGATTGTTGCGCCGAGTGTCAGAGCGAAAACGCGACGCTTTACATGTATACATTCTTACCATTTCTATATCCATTTTTTACAGGATTAATCTTAATGTGGCATTCATGAAATTAGCCAAAAAGCCAAGCAAGGAATGTAAATTCCATAGCTGTTAAATCTTTAATCATTGCGCATATAAGCAGAATCATTTTTTTAAGTTCAAAAATTTCTCCTCCTTTCTGTGTAAATTTAAAATACTATTTTCTCTTATATTTTAAAAAATCATCTATTCTAAATATTACTTATTAATTATATGTATAAAATTATTTATATAAAATTATATATATATATATATACACACACACACACACACACATACATACACACAGGTTGTCCCAGATCACTTTCACAATTTTTTGGGGAAGACACAGAGCAGATTGAGATGAACACAAAAGTCCTATACCATTTTGCGAAATTCGCAATAATAGTCAAGATATTAATTAAAAAATATTGGTGAACGATCATATGGTAGATGAGCTGGAATGGCGCCATCTGCTGTTGTATACTTGTACATTAAATCAAACTGAACAAAAAAATCGTCTACTATTTTGCAAATGACAACATAGATTTTCAGATATTAACCCTTCGTATACTGGATGGTTATCACTCATAACTAAAATTCAGCGCTCTGTACCTTTTAAGTACCGTAATAAATAGAATTAGTGTCGCCATCTAATTGCATTTTAATTGCATTTTTTCATATAATTTCATAAAATAATGGAACTTTGATATTCAAAAATATACTTTTTCCAGAGATGACTTACGAGACAATTTTTTCCTTAAAGGTAAACATTTCGACAATAAAATGCTAAATTTTTACTTTAAAATAATAAAAATTACAAAAGTTATACATTTTTTTTGCAAAAACTCACTTTTTTTATAAATCGCGAAATATAATAATTTTTTTTTAATATAACATTTCTTAAATCTTAATACCAAAAGTATGTAAATACTTTCTATAAACATTAAAGTTAATCCATGAATTTTTTCAGAATTTTAGCATAAATATTAGGTGTGAGAATTACTTGAGCAAAAATTGAATGTAGTGATTGTCTAGTAATGACACAGAAAAGTTGG